CAGGAAATCAGGACTCATGGAGCAGTCTGCTGTCAGCCAAAAGCACCAGCCCTCTGCTGATTTCCACAAGTTGCTGCCATGGAAATGGGGTCTTTCCATGCCAGGAGCATCTCAGAGGAGTAAAACAAAGGGGACACTCACCTGTGTTCAATTTTTGGCCTCAGGAGTGCAAAGTCCCTGCAAGAACATGGACCTGGGGATGTTCACTTTGGATGGAATCAGCTCTTCTGCTTTTGTTTGGTTCAGTGTCTACTGGCCTTTGAGGGTTTGGGGTTTTCTGCCAGGCACAAATGGAAAAAATGGCCTCTTCCTTTGGGAGAGGGAGCCAAAATCTCTCCTGGTAAAAATAGTGGTTTGTTTATTTAAACCTCATCTCTGTCAAAACAACAGGGTGATCTTATACTTGTAACTGACACTTGTTCATGAGAGAAAGTGCTCCCAGCAAGGCTGGAAGCTGCTCCACGCTCCTTTCCAGCAGACATCCCACCAGGCTGGAAACCTCTGCTCTCCTCTCACCTCCCGGTGTGGCCCAGTGCAGATCCCACTGTGGCCCCAGGCTCAGCAGGGAATTCTGCTCCCACAGAACAATTCCTGCTTCTCCAGGCAAACCCCACCAGATCTTTAAAAACAGCCGTAGAAGGGAGATTTAAGTTACATAAGTGAGATTTTATTTTCAAGTCTAAATTAATCAGTGGTCAGCTCAAGCCATGTGTGACACGAGGAGTTCCAGCAAGCTTAAAAAATCATGCCAATATTCTATTTCCAGAGACTCATTATGCACATATCATTTTCTTAATCCACTAAATCTGTGATGACAATGATCTCTTATCCTTTTATTTGTACAAGGCAGAAGAGTCCTTACTCATCCCAGCAGCTTAAAGGCACTGGATGATAATAATAGCAGTAGTAATTTGTGCCTCATAGTAATGAATTTCACGGGTTGCTTTGTTTTCTGAAAGTTGCCTTTTCTTCTCGCTGAATTTTGCTGCCATAAAGTTTGTGGCAGGCTTATTATTTTAATATTATCACTTTGGGTGAGTAGGAGCTAAGTTTGGTGCATTCAACTCTTCCAGGCTCTGACTTCACTGCCAAAAATCCCGCGTGGATTCCAAAGAGACAAAGGCTATGGAGCGGGAGGATCTGCAATTCAAACTGATTTTTCTGTGTGGGAGAGCTGTGAAATGTTTGTTTGCAGATGCAGATGCAGTGCCCAGCTCGTTTGTTCACAGCTTTTTCAGAATATCAAAGCCATTGTGACCCACGGATCTGATGAGCTGCAAAACACAGACAAGGGAATTCTGCCCAGCAATTTGGGTATTAATTCAGTAACTTATGTTTTAACTGCACATCAGAAATCCAGGCAAGAGTCATTTTCCTTCAGGAAACACTGGATTTAGAGATATATTTAATACTAATTTATTTCACACTATTCACAGCTATTCATACAGACTGTGTAAGTGCTAAAAAAGTATTTCCTGAGATCCTTGGTTGTGACAAATGTTTCCAGTTCTTGTCATTTGATCAGCACTTTAATAACCCCGTAGATAAACTGGTGATGTAATGAATGAGTTCATGCACTTTAAACTTGAGCTGAATATAAAAACCTCACCTAAATCAGATGAAAATATTGTAGAATGGGGAGGTTCTTAGTGGAGAATGCCGACAGCACTTCAGCCTTTCTCAGAGAGCTGCCACATAAAAGCTTCTGCTGGAAGGGAACGTTTCAGGGCTGGAAGGCAAACTGGGATTCCTGGTAATGCACTGGTTTGTGTGTTTGCTCACCTCTGCTCTCACCTCCTTCCCCAAGGTGAGGAGGGAGATAAGCACCAGCTGTTTTCCCCCTCGGAGCTGCTGCCTCGGCTGCCCTTGAGTTCAGCAGCCCTCATGTGCATTCACCTGCCCAGGATCTGAGGAGATCTGTGAGCACCTCCAGCACCTCCCTGCTCCTCACCCTCATCCTTCCTCCCCCATCTCATCCGTCCCTCCTCTCTGCGGGGGCTTTATAGGAAGGTGACTCTGGGAAGGGTCATTGGGAAGGGTAACTGGGGATTATGATGTGTCCCTAACACGATTTGACAGCCTGGGCCACCTTCCTGTCCCTGCAGAAAATACACGCTCCTGTTTTCCCTCCCCTTGCCTAAATACCACTTTTCTGAGCCATGTTCTCCATGGTGGGGATCTTTTTATCCAGATCAGTGTAGACTAAGCAGGATTATAAAACCAGATTTATCCAAGGCCATAATACTGCAGTTGCAAGGGGCACTTTCCAGTGGCTGTGAGGTGCTTAATCTTTTCGATTAACTAGAAATATCTATGGCTTTAAACCGCTGGTTTGCGTCACGTCCTGAAAGCCGCTTTATGTTGGGAAACATTAGAACAGTGATTAAAAAAAATATTTAAAAATTGTCTCTGCCCATGGATTCTTCACGGAAACAGGGAGGGAAAAGCATCAGTTCTTGACAGCTGAGTCCATCTTTGTCCTCCCAGGTAGCCAGGACTCCTTGTGTGGTGGAAGCAGCAGCGCTTCCAGGAATGGTGAAGTGTCACACTGTGACATGAAATAACTCACAGAAGCGGGTTAGATGTAAAAGGAAAGAAAAAGAACTCAAAAAAGGCAAACTTTATTTTCTGACTCCACTATATATACATTAGCAAAAATGACAGCAGATTGGAGGGTGAAACTGCCACCTCTCCAACCACACTGGTCAAACCAACAGTCCATCAATTCTTTTTACTTACAAAGAAGAATGTAAAACAATCATTATTTATATGAACATGTGGGAGAAAACTCAGCTGAAATACGTAAACATCAGAAGGCATAGGAACTTTTAGAAGAACTTTAAAACTCTCAAAAGAACAAGGTGCAAAACTCTCAAAAGATATGGGAGAATTTCCTGGGGATGTGGGAAGAGAGAAGGAAAACACCAGGACATGCACTGGTGACACAGGACAGCACTTCCCTTACCACTGCCCAGCTGCCTCCTTGGCCCTTTAGAGCCAAATATTGGCCAGAAAATCAAAAGGCACCTAAATAAAGCAGGTGTGGACCAGCAGTAAGAGCTTCACTGCAGCCCCCCTTGGCTTCACCTTTCCCTTCCTCCCTCTGCTAACCTCCAGAACCTCCCACCTTTCCCATCTTCTCCCATTTGCAGAGATTCCTGATTCCAGCCCGTTCTGACACACATCAGGTCACAGCAGAGAGGTGGGTGGGATTTCAGCTGCAGGAATGCCCACACCAGGGAGCCCACCTGGAGCTGGAGAGTCCGGTGGGACATCCTGCTCCTGGGTGGCTCATGCCCTGCTCTGGGATGGCTTTTCCCCCTCCAAACACATTCCCTTCTCCCTCCAGACTGTTGGGAAAGAGGCAGGAGCGCATCTTCTCTGCCTGCCAGATGCCTGCACAGGGCTTGGCATTTTTGTGAATTAATAAAGTCACCCACAAGCTCTTGGGGCTTTTTATTGCCTGCGCAGGCACTGAGATCATCGGGACAGCAGTGAAAACTCTGTCCAGGTAGGAGAGGCTGGGAGTGCTTCTCCTGGTGATAATATTCTAAAAAAGGAAACCACCAGGAGAAAAACACTTCTATAAATTTGTTTAGAGAACATCCAGTGACCGTGAATCCTGCTATAAATATCCCAGGCTATAGGTTTCAGGGATTCTTTACCGGATTGGTGCCATGCCTTGTCACAGACCTTGGTAACAGGAGCCTCATGATGGTTGTGATAAACTGTTTTTATTCCTTATCTCCCTCCCTTCCCTCCTTCCTTCCAGCTCCACGAGACTTTTACCCGTAATGTTTATTCCTCACCTCATGGAAAATTTTTGACCGAGAAAAAGATCACTCCAGTTGGAAAACCAAAAATGTCCAGCCAAAACCAACGTTTTCATTGTTTGGCTGAAAATGAGAGGTTTGCCATTTTAAGCTTAAAGTTTTTGGTTTGGAGCCAAAATAGTTTTGCTTTTTGCCCAAAGTCTGCAGTAAAAATTCCCAATTTTTCAGGGAGGCAGACACTTGTTTTTACATCAACAAGGGAAAAGTTAAAAACCTGAGTGTTCATCAGAAGTTGTTTAGAAAAAAGCAGCTCCAGACAAAAGTCCTTTTTCCTTTAAATAGTGAATGAAACATTCCAGTTCTTCTGCCTGTTACATGGACATGGCAAAGCTGCTGGAGGTCCTGTGCCAAAAGGATTCATGATTGGAACAGAGGTGATTTCTCCATGTGATTTCATGTTCAATGACAACTGGGGCAGTCCCCAGGCTGTCCTTGTCCCCTGTGTGGCCAATCCCAGCTCCAGATCTGTGAGGAGGGGGAGCCTGGAGCTGTGTGGTGGCTGCAGCCCCAGAGCTTTGATCACAACCCCACAAACCCTGATTTTTTCCGGGGGGACGCCCCTGCTCACAGCCATGGATTTCCATTCCACTGGGGAGTGGGATTTCCCTTGTTGCCATTCCTCCAGTGACTCCTAAGCCCCAACAAAGAATTAAAACAGTGAAAGCTGCTTTATTTCTGACACCATATCAAGAATTCCTGTAATTCATGTCAATGAAACTGTCCAGGACACCCAGGGGCTCCCTTGCCTGGTGCCTTTCTGCACACATCTGTTTCCAAGGATTTGCCATTTTCTGGGAGGGCTGAAGCCACATCTAAACTCCTGATTTTAACTGCAGAGGTGAAGAGGGGAGTGTTACTGCTCCAGGTGTCTTGGTGCAGAGCTCCAGGCTCAACAAATGCCAACAAAATCAATTTGAAGTAAAGAAGAGGAAAAATAAGAAGGAACTGTAAATTTAAAGCAATTGGAGGAGCTGGACAGCCCATAAGTGATGATTATTAAATCACCTTTCAATAAACCAGGCTGTTGTTTGATTTCAGAAGGACACAGGAGTCACCAGGGTAGTAGAATCATGGCATTCCAAATGAACACTCCAAATGAACACTCCAAATGAACATTCCAGGGTTCTGGAACCTTTGCTGCTCCTCTATGACAGGGGGCAACTCAGTGATGCTTTTTAATCCATGAGATCTCTGTGGAAAGGACGAAGACAAGGCAGAATTGTCCACTATGGGTGAGCTCCAAAAGGATCTTGAGCCCAGTGAGTGCCCAGTACCCCAATGAGAATCAGGTAGATCATGGAAAAAATCTAAATGTGGCATTTTTGGCTGCCCTGCATTTGGCTGGTTTTTGAGTGGGTGCCTTTATTTTGCTACTCGTGTTTGTTCTCTTGAACTTCAGACACATTTCAGCCACACTTCTCTCAGGAAATTACCACATGGAAAGTCTCTATTTTCTAACGATTTCCACGGAACAGTTTCCAACTGGATGCAGATCCTGTGCAACCCTAGACCAAGAAATGAGAAAGCCTTCATTTTCTTACCAAGGGGCCTGTATTTGTTACCCTCCACAGCAGTGCTGGTCTGGGGCTGTGATTTTTGTGTGTTTCCATCAAACCCCACGTTGTTGTGGTTGGCTGGAGCTGGGGGTGAACAGTTCATCAGGGGAGAGACCAGAACACATCCACCAAAAAAATGGCTTTGATATGTGAGGGTGGCTGAGTCACTCTCCAGTGGCACCACAAAATCTACTCACATGAGCATCAGAGTCACTGCAGAGATTTGAACTTCATCTGCAGGCATTTCTGGGGCCTGGGGTGAACTCGAGATGAAAAATGATTTGATATGGACTTGATATCAGCAATTGGGCTGATGGAAGGTGTTCCTGCCCATGGGAGGGGTTGGAATGAGATGAGTTTTAAGGTCCCTTCCAACCCAAATTTGTTTTTCTGTGATTCTGTGAGTGCTGATTTAAACTTCAGGTTTGGTGTTTTGGTGGAGAATGTTAAAGATCCATTTGATCTATTGGAGAGAGTCCAGAGAAGGGTCACTGAGTTGATTTGGGTGGTGGAACTCTGCTCCTGTGAGGAAAGGCTGAGGGAATTGGGGTTGCTCTGATGCCTAGAGAAGGCTGAGCTGGAAGAGAGGCTGGACAGAGCTCCAGAATAAAGCAGGGATTTATTCAAAGCATCTCCTCCATGGACCCACCTTGGGCAGCACCAGAGCCCAGCCAGGGCTGCACCCAAATGAACCAAAATGGTCCCAAAATGCACGAGCGCTCCCGGGGGCTCTCCCTGGGATCAGTTCTGCTCCATTGGCACCTTGGAGTTCATTGTCCCATTCCAGCTTCAGCCCAGGCAGTCCCATCCTGCTTGTTTTTCTCTCTCCAGCCCACGGTGTTTGTGCTCCTGGGCTGAGGTTTGGATCATTTGTCCTTGGTGCCCAGCTGGAGCAGGAATTGTTTTGTCTCTGCTCTGTGCAGAGAGCTCAGCATCCCCTCACGTGGAGTAAGACCCACACACTGAAGCAGCACAGAGTCTGAAAAATAGAAAATCTAAAACCTGAGGCATCAGTCCAGCCTGGAAAAGAGAAGCTTTGGGGTGACCTCCCTGTGGCCCTGCAGTGCCTGAAGAGAGCAGAAAAGATGGAGAGGGAGCATTGACAAGACCATGGAATGACAGGACAAGAGGGAATGGCTTCACACTGACAGAGAGTGGGTTTGGGTTGAATATTAGGAAAAAATTCTTCCCTGTGAGGTTGTGAGGCCCTGGCACAGGTGCCCAGAGCAGCTGTGGCTGCCCCTGGATCCCTGGCAGCGCCCAAGGCCAGGCTGGACAGGGTTTGGAGCAGCCTGGGATGGTGGAAGGTGTCCCTGCCATGGCTGGGGTGGCACTGGATGAATTTTAAGGTCTCTTCCAACTCAAAGCACTCCACAACTCTATAATTCTATAATTCCAAGAGTCTATTCCTTTCTTTATCATACTGCCATATTTTCCAAGTCACCTGTAAATTAATATCAAAATAATTAATAAATGTATTCTGCTGTTTGAAGAAACATCATCACTGGGATCAGAAAAAAGAATGGAAATAATCAATAATTTCCCCCGGTATGAACAATGGTTTCATTTACTTCATTTGAAGTATCTTTACTGGGCACTCGGGCACAGGGGAGCTTAAAGATAGGATTTTCTTTTAACCAGAAAGATTGGTTAGACATTGATAGGTTTAGGGTAATTTTTTCTTTTATCCCTCAGTTCTTTTCGCTGCCATGTATTTCTCAATTAAGAAATTCTATCTCTGCATTCCATATTAAGAAAAGGTGGGGAGTGGGGGGGAATCAATCTGTGGGTTCTCTTTTGTAGAAAGTTCTGGTTTCCTACATGATTTTTCCATGGAATTTGTTTGGGAAAAATACAGAGTGCACCAAAATGAGGTAATGACAGGGTTTGATATTTATCAAAGCACTTTCCCCCTGTCATCAAATTGCATCAAACTGTCAGCAAACATCCTGGAGCAGAGGAGCTGCACAAGCCACAGTGAGAACACAACTGATTCCTTGGAAATGTTCTTCACTCCAGAGCTCAGCCCAGGAACCTGGGACTCCTCCAGGATCTGGGACTTTCTGCTTCCAGGATAATTTCAGGTGAGGCCAATGAGTTTGTTCATTGATGCCTCAGGTTTTAGCATTTCTATTTCTCAGATTCTACTTTACTATGTGGGTCTGGGCTCTACATGAGGGGATGCTGAGCTCTCTGCACAGAGCAGAGACAAAACAATTCCTGCTCCAGCTGGGCACCAAGGACAAATGATCCAAACCTCAGCCCAGGAGCACAAACACCGTGGGCTGGAGAGAGAAAAACAAGCAGGGTGGGACTGCCTGGGCTGAAGCTGGAATGGGACAATGAACTCCAAGGTGCCAATGGAGCAGAACTGATCCCAGGGAGAGCCCCCGGGAGCGCTCGTGCATTTTGGGACCATTTTGGTTCATTTGGGTGCAGCCCTGGCTGGGCTCTGGTGCTGCCCAAGGTGGATCCATGGAGGAGATGCTTTGAATATATCCCTCCTTTATTCTGGAGCTCTGTCCAGCCTCTGTTCCAGCTCAGCCTTCCCAAGGCATCATCATGAGCACACAGCACTGAGGGTCAGTCATGGGCTAAATGTCATAGAGATTGCACAAAAAATGAAAGATAACTCCATTCTGACTCCTAAATACCTCTCAATTAAGTAAATTAATGACTTATTGTCACTAATGAGTGGTCTATTTCTGTCAACCTCTGTGCAACAGGTTAAGTCTCATTTTCTCCAGGACTTCTCCGTGACTTTTTGAGAATCCCCCTTTCAATAAGAGTTTTGCTCATCTTACATGTAACATCTCAATTACTATCACTTTTACCATTTCTTTAATCTTGAAAAACTCCTTGAAAAGTCTGTTTGACTCTGTAGTTCATGGCAATGGAATCATGAGGTTAATAATAAAACTAGCCTCCTGACTCAGCTGTGCTGGATTATTTCTCTCCTATTTTTCCTTTCTGTCATCTTTCAAACCCTAAACTTCTGTTCTTTACACACTTTGTTGTGCAAAACTGGATTTCACAGTGAGAAAGGTCTTTTCTTTCTTTTTCTTTCTCCCTTCCTTCCTTCCTTCCTTCCTTCCTTCCTTCCTTCCTTCCTTCCTTCCTTCCTTCCTTCCTTCCTTCCTTCCTTCCTTCCTTCCTTCCTTCCTTCCTTCCAGCACAGGCCCACTCTACTTCCACTTCCACCAGTGAGGATCACCTACTGAATTTAGCATTTTTCACCAATTATCCTGAGTCAGAAGCATTTCCGATTCTCCTTTATCCCATGGATAAAATGAGGTTTTATGTGTCTGATTCCTGGGGTGATAATAGCAGGGAATAGTTTTACTGCACACATAGAACTTTTCCCGAGGCCAAGAAAAGCAGCCACAGCTTTTCATCCACTCCCAGCAAAAATTAAGCAGGATTTAAAAAAAAAATAAATCCAGTTGATGGGGACAGAAAGTGGTGGGAGAAGAGAAGCCGAATTATGAAAATTAACAACGTGAAGTACACAAAAATCACCCTGATTAGTTTACCCTCTATTTTAAATGTTTCTAAACTCTTTCAAATTACACATTCAGCTAAATGATCACATTTTCAGGCTTTCCCCTCCTCCAGCTACACGAGTGAAAATCAAAGGAGGAAAAAGAGAAACAAGAATGTTTGATGTGCCTGTTGACAGAATGTTTGATCTGCTCTTGCTGACTTTTCCAAGTGCAGTTTCCTGGCTGCAGGGTGGAACAGCAGCAAAGTCATTCCTGAGGGCATCCTTATCCAGGAGAGCTCATCAAAGTGACATTAATTATGGAATAGGGGATCCTCCATCTGCACAGGAACTGTTCTGAGAATTAAAACATCCCTGGCAGTGCCCAGGGCCAGGCTGGACAGGGCTTGGAGCACCCTGGGATAGCGGAAGGTGTCCCTGCCACTGCAGGGGTTGGAATCAGGTGGTATTTAAGGTCCCTTCCCACACAAAGCACTCCAGCATTTTATGAAAATGAGCCTTTTTCTGGAAAATAAAGGAGAACAAAGAGCAGATTTGGGTGAAAGAAAGATCAGGAAGATCCCCCTTGGAGCAGCATGCCTGGACGCCTGAAGTGTTTTGTGGGATTCTAGATGGGAAAGAAATTTAAATTTGAGTTTATCAATTTCCCTAAGAACTTGGTTCAGCAGGAAAATGTGTTTTCAGCAGCATTCCACGTTTCCACACGCAGACAAGGAGGAGGATTCTGTAATTTATCTCTCTGCCCTTTTCTGCAGAGCCATCTAATCACAGACAGCAGCAGGTTGTTCATCCCACTCTGCACTTGGTAAATCAACGCTGACCTTTGCTTCTTGTCTCCTCCCTCATGTGCCTGGGTTGGTCTCCAGGACTCTTTTTTAAGGAACTGTCCCTATTTTCCAACAGTGTGGAGAACTGAAAGGAAAAAGGGAAGATCCCTCAGTGTTTGGAAACACAATCTGTGTGGTTTGGAGCCCTGAGAGTCACAAGCACTGTAGGGTTTATGGGCAATAATTAAAGCCCCACGACACAATCACACCCTTGATGGTTCCCTTAGCAGTTATTAAATAGAAATTATTGAATAGAAGTTATTAAACAGCATTTATTAAATAGAAGTTATTGAATAGCATTTATTAAATAGAAGATATTAAATATCTTCTATTGTGATTTTCCATATTAGATATGGAAAGTCACAATTGGTTCCAGGTAAAGCAACACCAACTTCAGCTTTTTA